TTTGTGACTCCTCAGTGTTAATTCAGTAGGTCTGTGCTGGTGTCGAGTGTTAACTGACATCTGAGGAGAGCTTTGTTAAAATTTCATGAGAGCTGAGCTGACCGCACAGAGTATGGAAAAGATATCAGTGCGCAAAAAGGTCTTGGAGAGGTAATTAATAATTGAGAATAATACCCGAGTCATTCCATTGCTACTCAATATAGCAAGCAGAGTATTAAGACAGATTCACACCAAGAAATATAACAATAAAGATAACTCTAGTGTCTATACCAATGCATGATAATATTCTGTTTATTAGAAACACAGGCTCCAGTGTTGTTCTCTGCCACTTTAAATGCTCCAGCTCTTTAAATTCGGACAGATTCTGATTGGCTGTCAATGTTTTTATTGTTTGTCAGCTGGAAAAAAAATGTTCAAACAATATTGTTCCTCTGTGTCGTCATATAGTTGTGTTTTGGATGTCCCTATTTTCATTCAATGAAATGATGATTATAACTTTATAGAGTCCTGCAGGGGCAGGATATATTTTTGTTGGACAAAACATGGAAACAAGTTAGCATTTTAGCACTTCCAGTCCATTGTCCTGAAATCAATGGGGGGGAATCACGTTTTATTCTACGATACATTCCATTGCTACTCAATATAGCAAGCAGAGTATTAAGACAGATTCACACCAAGAAATATAACAATAAAGATAACTCTAGTGTCTATACCAATGCATGATAATATTCTGTTTATTAGAAACACAGGCTCCAGTGTTGTTCTCTGCCACTTTAAATGCTCCAGCTCTTTAAATTCGGACAGATTCTGATTGGCTGTCAATGTTTTTATTGTTTGTCAGCTGGAAAAAAAATGTTCAAACAATATTGTTCCTCTGTGTCGTCATATAGTTGTGTTTTGGATGTCCCTATTTTCATTCAATGAAATGATGATTATAACTTTATAGAGTCCTGCAGGGGCAAGATATATTTTTGTTGGACAAAACATAGCATTTTAGCACTTCCAGTCCATTGTCCTGAAATCAATGGGGGGGAAATCACGTTTTATTCTACGATATAAAATACATCAATAATACCCCACTCACAATTTTATAAAAAGGCGGTTGCTAATGCTAACAAGTGGCTAAATGGGACTACAGAGGTTGTCACCAAGTGACATTAATTGTCACCACACTAAACTTACCTACTAACTAGTACACTTTTACAGTCCTATTGTGTTTATAATTTCGCTCTTGCAAACTCTAATTAGTCAAACCTTCAGTGAAAATGTTTTTTTAATCATCACTGCAGCACTCTATAGTTATCATTATCGTTATCGACCTTGGTGTGAATGGCCCTCTACAGCGAGATTCAGGTTTATAACACAATTAACCTCAAAAATTCCTTAAGAACAATTAGCTTGACCCTGTAGAGATTGTGAAACAATCAGACCATCTTATCCATCTCAGCCAGCTGGTCATTCACCACAGATTTCATATAGCTACGGATCTCACTCCACATTCATTAAAGATACATTGCACATTAGGGATTAAAGATATAGAGAGAGTGTGTAAAGGTACACTCTGTGACGCATATGCTGGGACTACAGCCATAAAATGCTGTAGACATGAATTATACAGAAAGGTAGAGCGGTAGAAAGAGAGTAATAAAGATGCTAATTGATCTAACAAAACTGTAAAATACAAGCAAACACACATCCTGAGCAAATTGTGCTTATGGGTAATCTCCTTTGCCCCCTCTGAAAGTGTATTTATGAAGAGGGGATCAAGCTGCCCCTTGCTGTCCTAATGTAGGACAGTATCAGGGATTTGTGCCTGTAGGGAGATTAATGGCTATGTGTGAGCCCAAATGCTGTAAATCTCATCCTAAAACCAACGCCAGTCAGTCGGTAAAGCAACCAGCTGGCCTCTGACTGCACAACTAATGTGCACAACTCAGGAATTCCCACAAAGAGCAAATGCCACATGCTGTCCGTGTTAATATCTACTACCACTGCTCCGTAAAAATATATAAATAGACTATATGGTCCTTCGTCTGTCTGTATTTATTTCAAATTCTGTAAGTGAGAAAAAAACTTGTTCTTGTCTCACAATCATCCTCTTACTGAGTGCCTGCAGGACATGTTGATGCCATTCAAAATCCAAATGAAATTCAATTGGCCCAAAACGGCTCGCTAAATCCATGCCATTAAATTCTGCTGAATTTAGTTGCTTCTTTAAGAGATAAACCACTCACAGAGGACATGGCTTTTTGCTTCCTTGCTAACCAGACAAACAGGAAAGGGCGTATCATAAGGAACATTATTTCCTCTGAGGCAGTTTAAACGTTATTTCTTTGACACTTTGTAAGCACTTAAAATTACTTAAGTAGAAACTTAATTACGAGAAAAATCTGATTGTATCTTATCTCTCAGAATGAAAGCACTGAAGATAAGTCAGCTTTTCAATAAAGCATGGTACAGCCCCACCCTGTTGAAAAAAACAGCATATGCTGGTTAGGTATGTTTTGACGCTGGGATGCTGGTTTAAGCTGGTCCTTTGCTGGTTCTTTTGCTGGTTTATGCTGGTGCTTTGCCAGCATATGACCAGCATAAACCAGCAAAAGGACCAACATAAACCAGCAAAGGACCAGTTTAAACCAGCAAAGGACCAGCATAAACCAGCAAAAGAACCAGCAAAGGACCAGCTTAAACCAGCATCCCAGCGTCAAAACATACCTAACCAGCATATGCTGCTTTTTTCAACAGGGCACCCAGACACATGCACTCACTCACGCAAGACCCTGACTAACAATGTAAAAGACAGAGGCATGAATAACTTATGATTTAGATACGTTAGATTAACTAGTTTTTTCTTTAGAAATTTCTTTACATTTGACTTCATCAGGCTCTTTAACACACTTTAGTTTAAATTCACTATTCACCAAACAACCTGCAAGGTGGCACAGGTGTGGCAACAGACCAGCATTCAAAACATGCCCTTTTTTTGGTTCAAAACCAGTGGTTATATGTCAACAGTACACATCAATAATCAACTGTTTTAGTTTATACTTTGTATAATATCACAAAATAATTAAATACAAAATCTCATTAGAGAAAGATGAATATCTCTGATAGTTCTCCCAAAATCTTTCATCATTTATGTCCTTTAAAAAGTGTTGGACAATATGTATACTTAAACTAAGTTTTAACAATATGCTCACAAATTGTTTCAGTAAACACAAAAGTTAGACTAGAAGTCTACTCTAAATGCTAAACGCACTCGAACAGAAATCGTCTTTGCATGAGGAAAACAGCTCGTCAAAATGTATGTACTGTCATTATTTATCAAGTTATCACAGATTTACACCTAAAAAGTATTTTGTTTAAAATGTCTTTAGCTTACAGGCGCCAAAAGACCAATGAAAGACGAAGCGATTGAGAAAAGAAAATTATTTGGAGAAATTATTTTAAAAAGTTGACCCTCCACCTTCCACCCTGATCTTCACACACTGCTGACAGCCTCAGTCTTTAAGTACTTTTTATTTTATTTTTTAATACAATGAAAACGAACAGTAACTGAGATCGTCATCTCCCTTTGTATTGCACATAAGAAAAAGGTCCTACAGGTTTTGAATATGAGGTTGAGTTAATAACAGAATTTTAACCACTGTATGAATTATTCCTCCAAGTCTATCGTATGTAGGCCTTAATGATTAACTTATTATTTATTTGTGATTGTGTTTATTAAGATTGCGAGTAGGCCTATCATTAGCCTATCAGTGTTGCCAACTTAGCAATTTTGTTGCTAAATTTAGCATTGCAACCCTTAGTAGTACACTGTAAGAAAAATATCTAGAAAAATGGAAAAGGTACTAGTAATTTTCCAGGACATTATCCATTCTTCATTGTAACCCGAAAACACAAAATACAATGCGGAATTTAAAATGCAGGTAAAAAACCTGTGAAAAATCAATACGGAAAATTCCTTCATATTAACATAGTAGATTGTGCCCTAGTTTACTAGCTAATAAAAAAAACTTAAATTGTAAGCCCTAATTGTTAAAAAATGTGTAAGTGTTCAATAATTCAATATTGTATTAAAAATACAGTTATTTATATTTTAATATTATACAAGCAAATCTACATTAACATATAAAATATTTTTTTGCTGAGATTTGATGTAGTGACAATTTTGCGTCATAATTACGTAATGATGTCATCGTGTAATGACATCACAACATCATTTAGCAACTTTTAGCAACAAATTGACCTTCCTTTAGCAACTTCCCCTGAAAATTAGTTGGCAACACTGTAGCCTATTATGTATGTTTAATGCCAACAGTTGACATTTGCGAATGTGCGGGGGTTTTGCTTGTGTTTCTTTGATGGGTAATAAACACACCAGCCTAACTTACAGCTGAATGTTTATATCAACTATGCTGTGTACGATTAAATAGCGAGCATGTAACGAAATAAATGCATTTAAAGTTCGGATCAGCTGTAACCGGACACACGGAAGTGAGAGCGAGTATCGCACAGGTAGGTAAACCAACACCGACAGCCCAGCTCACTTTCCCAAGAGATCCAACTACGAATCAGTGGCTGCTTTATACGGTCGATCTTATAGACTGGATAAAAAACAGACAAAGTTTAACCAGCTACGAAGGCACAAAAACACAAGCGTCTTCTTTATTAAATATACAAAATATAAAATGAGATTTGAGTTTACCTCAAAACACTGCTGCTGACAGCGATCCAAAAGTCTTAGTTTTCCCACCGCACAGAGTTCCTGGGAGTGCTACACTTTCTCTCGCATTCAGATGAGGGTGAACAATGTGCGTTGGGGAGAGGGCAGAGGGCAAAGTCTCCTCCAGAGCTCCGCCCCCGATACTGTAGGAGTCCCGCACCACACCCAAACCCACACCCCCGCACTCTCTATCTTTGACACGATAAACACACTCCAAAAACACTTCAAATGGACATCTGATTGCTTTAGAATATAAAATGAGATTTGAGTTTACCTCAAAACACTGCTGCTGACAGCGATCCAAAAGTCTTAGTTTTCCCACCGCACAGAGTTCCTGGGAGTGCTACACTTTCTCTCGCATTCAGATGAGGGTGAACAATGTGCGTTGGGGAGAGGGCAAAGTCTCCTCCAGAGCTCCGCCCCCGATACTATAGGAGTCCCGCACCACACCCAAACCCACACCCCCGCACTCTCTCTCTTTGACACGATAAACACGCTCCAAAAACACTTCAAATGGACATCTGATTGCTTTAGTTGCTCATCGTCATGGCGTAATATGCAACACACACACAAGTTTTAAAACATGCATAAGATATCAATTTCAATATACAATAAAAGAATAATAAAAGTTGAACGCTATATATAGCCTATATTTATTTATAAAACGATTAGTTCCATATATATATATATATAATGTAAATTTCAAAGTGCAAAGTATTTGTATCAGCGCTAATTATTTTTTGCATACAATATTGTCAAAACATCAATACACTCAGTACATGCATTTGCTGGGAAAGGGTGTCAGTAATGTTAAAAATATTTTAAATTCAATATACAACAAAATTATATAATATAAAATAATATGTTCTCCCCACTGTGAGCACTGAGGCTTACTTCCTATGTGTCTTTTCTTGTCTGTGATCATTTATAAGGATTCGTCTCTGTTTTTTTTTTATCTCTTATGATTTGTAGAGATACTTTTCCAAATCATTTTCTGCCATAATCTTATGTGTTTCTCAAAAGCAGTGAGATCTTCTACCTGTAGGGCATATGCATGTCAGCGGCCACACCTTGGCAGGTATTACGACAAACAAGGCACTACGTCATGACTCATGTAATTCTCAGACAGTGCAATATGATGAACTCTCTGTCTAATCACCTTTGAAACTATACACTCACCCAATTCATTTAAAGAGCTTTTCATTGAAAATTACACTTCTTAGGGTTCAACAAATTTCACATGCTAAACACAATCCCCAAAAGCGAAACCATCATTTTTAATATTATAATAATTATTTTTTTTTAATGTCAAGTTTGTTTGTTAATTATCTAATTGTAAGAGTTATTAAGAATCAATAATATTGTATATTAGCAAATATCCCCATACATCTTAAAGATCTTCTGAAAGACTAAACAATCCGGATTTACCGGTATAGATCATATGAGATATTTGTATTTTTGATACTGAAACAATGGCCAATCGCTCAGTTGTAGTTCTGTCACGTTTGAGAAGGTTCTCAAAAAATGTTGGCTTTGAAAATTGTGATGCATTTGGCAACGATTTAATAGCTGTGGAGTGAGTGATTCTGAATTACAGTGAATTACTGTTTACCAATGTGCAAAACATAGTTCAGAGGAAAAGGAGGAAGAGTGACAAAGGAGAAAGGGAGGAGGGCGAGGGGTGTGGCTGGGCCACTCCTTTATGCTCAAAGAATGACAGCAGTAACAATACATCAAAATTTGGTCAGAAATCAGGAAGTTTAGCAAAAGGAGAAGATTAAACGTTCATGTTGGATCAGTGTAAATTACTTTAGATTAAAAACACCTTCTGCTTTTTGACATATAACCAGGAACAAAGACGTGCAAACAAAGAGCTCAAAGGACAGTAGGTTTCATTCCAGCAATCAATACTTATGCTTGGGATCTATTCATGATGATTCAGAACTGGACAGTGCCAAACAGATATATACTGTATATAAAAGCAATTAGATCTTTGTTGTGCATTAAGAATGTGTATGCTCAAATAAAGTATATATAAAAACCCAAAATACAACAAATACAAAATCTCTGGTTTGTGGCCAATATTTCAGAAAAGCCTTATAGTCTGAATGGGGGTCAGAGGTCAGCATTCCAAAGCTGCCTTTCATGCTTAGCTCAGGAAGCCAAAATAGCTCAACATGTGCAGCAGACATGAACATGCGTTTCCGCGTCTATTCAGCTAAGCACTCTTTAGAGAGGATCACTGACATGCCTCAGTGAGAAAGACAATGCATGATAAACAGCCTCATTGTTTTATAAGAGACAGATGACATATGGACATGCTTGGAGGAAAGTGCTCTTCCAAACCCATGTAATTAACGTGAATGAAAGCAAGCATTATTGTAATATTGCAGTCTTTGTTGACTGATTAAGTGGTAAAGGATTGTTTTGTAGGAGACTCATAAAGCTGTGTGGAGCTAACAAATAAATGGGTGGCCAAAAGTACACTTTTTGAATGCAAACAATATTATAAATACCTTGTCACTTTTATTCAAATGAATACTACGATGTTAGAAAGAGCATAACTTTGTCTTCAAACATCACAGGAACTGAAATAGAGACTATAACTTTTCTAAGTTAAAATGTCTAAATGTCTCTGGTGGCCCTCCAGGATTGGCAAACAATGTATGTAATGTAATGTAAGGTGTTATTTCTACCAGATACATTTTGTGCATAAATTCTAAAGAAGTAAGTTTGATTCAGCCGTTAAACATTTTTGAGACTTGACTGCTAATGTAGATGCTACCGCATATTTCAATGGAATATGACTATGTATGACTATGTATGTTTTTCGTGTGTGTTTTATAAATAAATTTACTATTTATTTGTAACTATAAAAGGAATAAAAGATACAAGATTTATATACAACTTTTCAATATACATAACCATTCGAATGTTTGGGATCTACAAGATTTTTTAAAAATGTTTTTGAGAAGTCTACCTGTAGGGCATATTTTAAATACAGTAAAAAAAATTATAATATTGTGAAATATAATTACAACTTTAAATAATAATACTACTAATAAAAAAAATGCAAAATTCAAATGTATTTTATTCCTGTGATGCAAAGCTGAATTTTCAGCATCATTACTCCAGTCTTCAGTGTCACATGATCCGTTAGAAATCATTCTAATATGCTGATTTGCTGCAAGAATGATTTCTTAATAACAATGTTGAAAAACGTTGTGTTGCTTAATATTTTTGCTGAATAAAAGTATTAATTTCCTTTCAATAAAAGTAATACAATCATACTGAATTTTCTGAATAATAATAATAATAATGTTTTTAGGATTACTGATAAACTAATGTAGTTTGATTTGTATTAGTTATCTGTTTTAGTTACAGTTGTAGTAATGTTGTCATTTTATTAGTTTTTTTATTATGTCTATATAGGCTTTTTATTAAGTTTTAGTTTTATTTAATTTGAGTTATATTTGAGACATACAAAATGGAAATGAAATAATAATGTATTTATATATATGTACATGTATATGTATATGTGTGTGGCTGTACATACACATGTAAGTTAGTTGTTTTTTGGTGTTTGGTTTAGTGTTATGTTAGAATCATTATTATACTCATACCTTTTGTTCTTTTAATATTTTGAATTGTTTTTAGCTTTATTTTTTTTTTTCATTTAAATGTTTCGTTTTGAAATGTTGTTGTATGCATTTGTCATTTTTATTTAATTTCTTTTATTTTCTTAAATGTGTATATATATAGTATTTATAGAGTTTTAGCTTTTAGTTTTAATTACTTTTTCTTATTTGTAAGTCGCTTTGGATAAAAGCGTCTGCTAAATGACTACAAGTAAAAGTACTGACCCAAACTTCTAAGTTTAGGCCAATATAACAAAAAAAAAGCATAATGAAAAAATTAAAAACTACTAAATAAAACTGAAACATCCATAACAATCAAAACAAGGTTTTAGAATGACCTGAAAGACAATTTTGATTGATAAAATAAATAGTACTCCAGGAACACAAACAGTAAAACATAGGAAATACGCAAAATGATCAAATGTACCTTCACAGTTAGTAGGCTAACTTTGGATAAAAACGTCTGCCAAATGCATAAATACCTATGAAGATTTACAGAACAGCATAGGGAAAATTCGGGTAATGCCATTGAGATGCATGGTAAAAATAGACCAATTTAACGGCATTTTTCTTGTACTCTGTAATGAAGAAACTTCAATCCACTCACATAGATCTCCTGACAGCACATCTGAGGCACTGTATTTACATGAACAGCTGAACGTTCCTCAGGGATGGAGCGACCTCTGATGGAGCTCCTGAATCACAGCGCGATCACGGCGGGTCTGACTCTGACCAGAGGCTCTTGACAGCCCGAGGCGCTGCCGACTAACTTCACTCCGGGCTATACACGGACAAAGGAGGACAAATAAGACAAAGTAAGTTTCACGCATTTACAAATAAACTGTCAATAAATGAACTGCTTGGCTGCTGATTCGTGAAGCGAATAAGTTGGACAGAGAGGCGATTGTTCCCGTTGTTTGGCAGGGTGGGACTTTTCATCTCTACTCATGCATTTGATTATAAACATCTACAGTTGACTTGCTTGTGTTGTTTATATAGGGTTAGAAATTTTCATTAGAAATATTCACGTGCATTTGATGTTTAATGCAGACTAAATTATGTGATTTTTCCACCATCTGCTGCACTTTCTCACTACCAAATAAGGTTTAGTTATAACCCATGGGAAGTTTTGGCATAGAGAAGTGTCACGTTTCCGCCGTGCGATTTTTTAATTGAGTAAACTTGTATTGACACACAGAATAGGACATTCACATTTGTGTCTGGTGCCATCCCAACGGCAGCTTGTCCACGTTCCCATACAGCTCGGTGCTGAGCCTTAAAGGGGTCATATGATACGATTTCAAGTTTTCCTTTCTCTTTGGAGTGTTACAAGCTGATTGTGCATAGATAAGATCCCTGAAGTTGCAAAGACTAAAGTCTCAAAACCAAAGAGATATTCTTTATCAAAGTTAAGACTGCCACGCCCCCCTAAAACGGCTCCTTCTAACACGCCCCCACATATCTACCTCACTATGTGGAAATATTTGCATAATGCCGCCCAAATGTTCACGCAAAGAAAGAAGGCGTGGTTTCAGTAACCGCAGTTAGTGTTGAAGCAGCCATGTCAGAGAGACGCTGTGTGTTTCTAGGCGAAAGCAAAAGCACTTTATTTGGCCTTCCGAAAGTAGATGCATTTAGGAATCTTTAAGATTACTTACAACAGAACAGCAATACATTTTATGGACGACCGTTTCGGTAAGGGGCGTTACATTTCCGACGAGTGCTTGCGGTGTTCGGCCAATCACAATGCACTGGGTCAGCTG